GCCAGCAGAGAGGATCCTCTCCGGGACGGGTGGCCAAGGTTAAAAGGGCGGCTCTGAACCAAGAGAGCCCAAAGCACAGACCTCCAGACTGGAGCGCTGGGAGAAGACCCCAGCCCAGTTGGCACCCCAGGGGTATTGGGGTGGGAAAAGAGCACAGGCCGCATAAACCTTCCCACATGCAAACTGCGAGTGCCATCAAGCACACCCAACCTAAGGGGGGGCGTGAAACTGGAGGGGCCTGGTGTAATTCTCACCAAGGAATGGGAGGGATGTGGGGGCATCCATGGGAACGGGGGTAGGTTCGAACTTCCCCGGGTCACTGGCTAAAGTGACCCCGCTCAGTTCGGTCTCGAAGGTGGGAGAGATGTGACGAATTGGGACTGTTCTTACTGTGGTCTGTGAATGCTGACAGGGGAGTGTGGTGAGAATAGTCTGCATTGGGGGATGGGAGACTGGCCTTGAGGGAAGATACCTGAGCATGTAACATGAGAACCCAGGAAGGGGTTAGAGGCCAGGTGACACCTTTGCCAGGGAAACTGAACAAAGGCTGTGGGAGGGGTCGCTGAAGGCAGAGTTTCAGAGCTGGCTGGTGGAAGGACTGGGAGGCAGACGGGGCTCTGACCTCCCAAGGGGGCTGGGATGCCCTGGGACCCCAAGATGGACCTAACTGAGGGGGATCCTGTTGTCTGTGCCTGCAAGACCTGTCTTGGGCTGTGTTCCTGTCGTCTAAATAAACCTTCTGCTTTACTGGCTGGCTGAGAGTCATGGTGAATCGCAGGAAGCCGGGGGTGCAGGGCCCTGAGTCCCCCACACTCCGTGACAACGGATCCGAGCAGACACCCTTTGCTGGTCACCCACTAGGAGGCTGTGAGGGGAAGCCAAGCCCCCGTGCTCAGGGTCCCCCAGCTGTGTTACGCTCCTGGAGCCTCGGCAGGCTGTAGCACAGGCCCCTCCCTTGGTGTCTCTGGCACACGCCTGGGCCCCAGCTCTCCGTCTGTTCCCCCATCTCGGAAATGGGGCTTTTCAGCCATGCGCCTTCCTGGAGCCCCTCACCTCGCTTCGGTGTCCTTGCCATCTCCTGCCCATGCTACCATCCTCTTCCTGTCCGGCCCCTGTTCTTGTGGGTTTAAACCAGGGCACGAACCCCAGAGTGGCAGTGTGATCTAGACTTAGAGTTCTCCAAGTGTGAACACCTCAGGCACTATAACAGCCTTAAACACGGAGTCACAGACAGTCCCCGTGGATACTCCGATCCGTCATGCCACCCCGGTGAGCCTAGCCTGTGACAGATGGTCCCTTACACCAAAACTCACAGCAATATTCCAGTTACTCCCAGTGCCAAAGGACCAGTCATTTTCTGCAGGTCAATTGCACTTTAGATCTTACACCGAAGGCAACGCTTGTAGCCAATCCTACAATAAACTATCCACCAATTTATTAATAGGAAAAGGAAACAAGAGCTAGTCAGAAGATTAAAGCAGGTGAGCCCGGCTGACTACAGCCGTGTATTTGTCAGTGTTCAATTGAGGCAGAAAGATCTTGGCATGAGCTGGCACCTGGTCTGCCAGTGTCACCCCTACCCACTCCCGAGCACTTGGCCTCTTTTGTTCAGTCGCTAGGCTCTTGTCACTTTCAAACCCATGCAGGGTATCTGGCTCTTTTTCAGTGCTCAGGTTAAGAAAAGCCTCTGCATTTTGTTAGGGCTTCAGCATTCACATTCCTACTTCGCAAACTGTCTGCTAGACACATTGCTCCCAGGGCATTCATCTTTAGTCATTATCGGCAGGTCCATCAGATTAACGAGCAACACAGGGGGAAGCAACACAATGGTGTCAAGGATTTTTAATTTTTCAAACCACTTTGGCCTCAACAGGGATAACAGCAAATCTGGACAGAGCAGATGGGTGTCAGGATGGGTTTGGGTATTTTTTTTTTTAAGTGAAAATGTTTGGGTCTGAGCAAAGGCTGCAAACTTCCCTTTTGTGGCGACGAGAAAGGAAGGAGACAGAGCGCCAGGTCGTGGTAGCGGAAAAAGCCTCCCAGGGACTTTTCACTGGGGTTTTTATTATCTTACTTTTCTATTTACAACACTTATAAGTGGTTGAATTTCTGCGCATAGGAGGAGCATACAATACTCATCAACATGACTTAACAAGGTCATATCTTGTGCACGTGAAAGCGAGCAGCGAGGGTGATGATTAGGTCAGCCAATACGTTTCTTAATCACAGGCGTGGGGGTGTAGGCCGCTCCGGCCTTGCAGCCACGGGGGCAGTGTGCCGCAGCCGTGAACTAGCAATTCGGGAGCTGTGTGTCTCTACATTCCCTCCTTTTTTGTTTTAAAAGCGGTGTTTAGACGGGGCACCCTCGCAGGGTCGCATACACAGTGCTACCAGGCTAGGTATACGTTGAACGAAGCAGCACAGTGAAATGCCAAGGACCAAAATTAGGACCGCATATTGCAAGAGGGTTTTTATCTACTCAAAAGGTAGCCATGACTAGAGGTAATCCCACCAAGGAGGGGAGATATCTTGGCATATGGCTTGGGCATATTGTATGACAGATTTATTAACAATATTATTAAGGCCTAACTGCATATTCACTGGTATGTCGCTAGGTGGCTTACAGACAGGAATAAGGCAGGTACTTAACAGACCCTGCATTTCTGGGGTAGCGGCTAAGCAGAAATTAGATTGATTCAGTACTTGTGCCAGGCGGACCCAGATGTTAAACTGCAGCCGCTGTTCCATCTGGGGTTCACCTTGACAACCAGGAGCCAGCAAAAAACTCCCCAGTATGCACAAGATAAGGAGCGAGTTAGCATTAAGGCAAGCTAGCAATGTCACAAGATAATTTTCTGCGGTAGGTTCCAGCTGCTGCTGCAGAGTGAGAAAAAGGGCCAACAGGTTGTCATCACAGGAGGCCGACACATAGGAGCCTGGAAGAGACTTAAGAACATTAGTAACATAAAGACTATCAGTAATAAGATTGGGATTGGGGGTACCACACTGCAGGGGACCCATAGGTTGTATAATTTTGTTAATGGCGCGAAGATCCTGCAGGAGGCGCCATTTGCCAGATCTCTCTTTAATAACAAATACGGGTGTATTAAATGGGCTAGTGGATTCCTCCAAACGTCCTGCCTGTAGCTGGTCATTGACCAAGTGCTGGAGGGCCTCCAGCTTTTCTAAAGGAAGCGGCCACTGCGCAACCCAGACGGGCTCGTCAGTGAGCCAACGGAGGGGGAGGGCCGTACGCCTAATCATCAATATGGATGGTGGCAGCAAACTGCGTTAATAAATCACGGCCCCACAGGTTGAGGTGGACGGGGAGAATGATGGGCCGGATACGGGCGCGGCGGGTGCCCTGGGGCGCCCTAACCCCCAACCATCGGGCGCTCCGTTGCGAGTCCTGAGCCTCGCCCACACCCCAGACAGCCGGAGCCTGCTCCGTGGGCCAATGGGCGGGCCACTGCACGGCGGCAATGACGGTGATGTCTGCCCCAGAGTCGATGACACCCTCGAACGGCTGATCGTCGAGGCAATAAACGCGTTTAGGTTGGGGTGATCCAATGTCTTTAACGACCGCTGCTACTTGCGGGTGAATAGTGCGCTGGCCGGTGGACCCGAAACTGCCGGTTCGGGGGACGTTTCTTCCCCCTGCTGGAAGGGAGTAGGGCACAAGTATAAGTTGTGCCCAGGCATCTCCCTGAAACAGTTGTTTTGGCAGATGACTCCACAGCTGAACGTGGATAATTCCACCATAGTCCGAGTCCACCACCCCAGGCACCACAAACAAGCCCTGCTTGCTGGCGGACGAGCGGGGCAGGACAAGGCCCACC